ACTGTTGGGACCGGCGGGCTGAGGGGAATTGCAGCAGGCGCCGGTGGAGCCGGACCGGACGCCTGCGGCGGCCCTGCACCGGACCTCATGACATCGCTCCCTGCAGGGTGACTCTGGAGGCCCGCTGGTGTGCGGCGGCGTGGCCGAGGGCGTGGTCACCTCGGGCTCACGTGTTTGTGGCAACCACAAGAAGCCCGGCATCTACACGCGCGTGGCGAGCTACGTGGCCTGGATCGACGGAGTGATGGCTGAGGGCTCAGCTGCCTGAGGAGAACCTGAGGGGCGGCGGTCACGAGGGCCCGAGCAATAAAGTCATCCACTCCTGCACCCGGTCCGCCTTTACAGATTGCACGCTGCGTGAGGGAGCGGATGGAGGCGAGCCAAACTGAGGGGGGCGGTTGCGTCCTGGTAATGCGGTGCCAGGAGGTGACCCAAAGGCTGAGACACGGCGTGCCTGGCGTAGGGATCTTCGGGGACAAAAGTCCGGCGACCCCACGGCCTTCAAGCCGGGTTGGAGCTGCCAGGAGTCGCTTCACGTCTTGGCCACGCGGTGGCGCCCTTACTCTCCCCTGGAAATTGGAGAGCCGCCCGGAGACCCAGGAAGGGGCACGAGTTGGGGTGGGTGTCCCCTTGGTCCTTCCTTCCCGAGCAGAAAGTGAGGGCCTGCTATGTGCAAGACCCTGCTCTGGGCTGAGATCTAGGTACACAGAGAAGTTGTGTTCTTAGGACCCGTGTCCCAAATGGGAAAACAGGCTCAGAGAGGCCGTGCGACTCTCCTGACGTCACACAGAAGGTCCTGAGGTCACACACAAGCTCCTGAGCAAAGCCTGGAAATGAGCGCAGAGCCACAGGGCCTGCGTTCATAGGCCAGCCCCAGGTGCTGCGCGGTTCACCAAGCAAAGCTGAATGGTGTCCCAGAGCAGCTCCACTGATTGGAGGCCCAGGGGACTCACTGTCCTCCTGGCTCTGTTTACCCTTTTGGGAGGTGACAGGGCAGAACCCAGGTCCTGAGGCCCTGTGCCCTCTCTCCCACTTGGACAAGGGGCCACTGAAGCCCAGCACCTACTAGGCCCCAGGTGTTAAGCCTGGTCCACAAAGGGGGTCTCTGACCTCTCTTTGGTCGAGGAGACTGAGGGTCTGAGAGGTGGTCGTGTGCCCCACCAGGCATTGGAATTGGAACCTATGGCCAGTTTTTGTTTTTCTGCTATGGAGCATTCATTCATATGGAAGCACTTGTTGAGTGCTTACTGTGTAGACACAGCTGAGACCCAGCCCTGCTCATAGGAACCGGGTCAAATATTCCATTGCACAGGATGGAACTCATGAGTCATCCTGAAGACGGGCCTGGGGCTCTCAGCATACTCACTGTTCATCTGAAATTCAGATTTAACTGTCATCCTGCATTTTACCTGGCACCACTAGTGGGGGCTACAGACCAGACTAGGCTGTCCGTGTTGGTGAGCCACGGGCCCTGAGGTCAGAGCAGGACCAGATGGAGTGGGTGGGGCAGGCAGAGGGGTAGGGATCTGTGGGTCTCCAGGCAGGAGACATAGGCTCCATGCTTTCTACCCCATGGGGGGGTTTCTGCAGTCACATGAAAACTCAGAAGTCCCCGTGACACTGCAGGGCCTCTTCTAGCAATTTCCCCACAGATGCTGGGGGCAGGGGAAGCATGCAGGGAGGGTGGCCCACGTGGCCGTGCCCCCCCACCAACTGCAGACGGGAGCCCACTTGCCGTGGGGAGTCAAGGGCAGCTTCCCACTTCTATTTCCGGAGGATGGTGGCCTCGGCCTCCTCACCTGCAGCTGGGACCCGTGGACCTGGCTCTGAGGAGGCTGAGGGCACAGTGAACACGCAGCCCGACGGACTGACTTGCCTCTTCCTGTCACAGTAACACCTGCCCTTGTTAACCCCAGAGAGGGGGACCCGTGTGGACACATGGTGGGGGCAGGACGGGGGGCAAGGGAACATCCCCACCCACAAATCCCCTCCCAACCTGGAGGAACATTCCAGCAGGGCTCTCAGCAGGGGACCCCCCCATGGCCCCCAGATGAGCCTGACGCTTCTGGACAGCTGGGCCCGCTTATGCCTACTGGGCTTTTCACAGCAGTTCACGGAGCGCTCCGGTTATCCACTGCTGCGTAACAAACTGCCCCAAACTCGGCGACACTGAGCCATCCCCGTTCGCCATTCACTGAGCTCAGCTTGCGTGGGTCGGGGTCACAAGGATGTGGGGGGGGAGGGGCGCATGTCCCTGTCCCACCACCTAGATGACCAGAGGCCTGGAGGCTCCAGGATGATGGCCCAGGAGCCAGGCCGGTTCCCACCAGCCTCAGGGTCACCCGGGGTCACTTCCCCTGCACAGGACAGGTGGGAACAGGTGCGAGCCCCAGACCCAAGGGGAGGAGATGCGGACCCACCCTCCAGGGAGCATCCGAAGATGGTGGCCGGGGTGTAAATACCCACAACTTAACCTTAACCAATGAAACATGAGTGCAAGAAACAGGTTCATTTTTCTAAGACAAATACCTGGTTTAAAGACTTCAAATGACTTGAGAAACACAAGCTGCTTTAAAAAACATGGTCAAATGGGGTAAAAAGGCTGAGAAGAAATATGCAGGACTGTGGACCACATGCCCCTCAACCTGGGAGGCCGCCCTGGGTCCCCTTTCCCCAAGGCGACAGAAGGCGGTGGCAGCAGCACGGGAGGTGAGTCCGAGGCAGGGTGTCTCCACCCCTCCCGGCATGGCCAGCAGCTCCAGGTCCCCACAAGTCCCCGCAGAAGCACCTCTCGGATGGCAGGACCTAGATGCCAAGTGCTGCTGCCACAGGTGGGCATGCCGGCAGGGAAGCGGCCCCTGGCCCAGGTAATGGGGCCCCTGGAGCGCTGCCAGCCCCAGAAAGCCCGACAGACACCGCTGCCGCGTGTTGGCCTCTGCGGGGCGCCCGGCCGGCCTGCCCTCCCTTGCGCCTCCAGAGGAAAACAAGAGAAGCAATCACCACTTAACAGGCAGGCCAGAAGGAAAACAAGAGAAGCAATCACCACTTAACAGGCAGGCGGGGCCGCAGGGAGCCAGGTATAATGGGTGGAAGCTGCTGCAGGAGAAGCAGGACCCCTGGGGGCCGCGGAGCTCAGGAAACCCGGGGTAGGGGGAGGGATGCAGAGGGAAAGCAGAGACAGAGACACTCACGTGCGCAGAAAACCAGGCGGCGAGGAGCAGCCCCCACCCACGTCCAGCCCACCGCTCCCTCCCGCGCAGGGACCCCTGTGCCTGGCAGACACTAGGTGCTCGATAAATGCTGACAGAGCAGGAGAGCAGCGCACACGGGCAGAACCACATGCCTGTGGAGGGGGAGGGAGGCTCCAGGGGCAAGAGGGCTGCCGGGTGGCACCCAGGACACCGACAAGACACCGGCCAGACACCGGCCACCCAGTGGGGACGTTTACTGGGCTTGCCCAGGTCAGAGACGGTGGTCGCGAGGGCTCAGCAGTGACAGGTACAGGTGAGGAACCAGAAGCAGACGCCTGGGCTGGTGTCACTGACAGTGGCCACTGGACACCCGGCAGGTTCGTATGGGATGCTCTGAAGGACAGAGGCCTGAGCTGTCCTGGACCCTCTGAGCTGAGACCTGGGAAATCCAGGGCGGTCACGGCGCTCTGGGGTCCCAGGGGTCGGGACACAGGGGTGGCTCTACCCGGGCCAGTGAGATCCTTGGGGCAGGGGCAGGTCTCAGTCACCATCTGTTATGGTGGCCACGCGGCCAGGCCCTCCACCCGGATCCGCCAGTAGGCTCCGAGGAAGAAAGAGCAGGGCCCGCTGGGCCGAAGGCCAGCCTGAGGCTTCAGGCCATGTCCTCACCTGCCCTGCCGGTTACAGAGGTGCTGGCGCAGCTGATAAGGGCCCAAAAGCATAGCTCAAGGATGGCATTGTCTCACGCACCCTAGGAAGGTCTGGAGGGCGTGGCTGCTCTGTGACCAGCAAGGGGACGGCGTGCCTTTCCTTTAAACCCATTGGGAATCCACTGACATTCTGCACGGGAAAGGAAACCATAAGCAAAACGAAAACAACCTACGGAACAGGAGACAACATTTGCAAACGATGCGACCAACAAGGGCTTAATTTCCAAAATACACAGCTCATACAACTCAATAGGAAAAAACCAAACAACCCAATCAAAAAAATGGGCAGGAGATCTAAATAGACATTTTTCCAGAGAAGACATACAGATGGCCAACAGGCACATGAAAAGATGCACAACATCGCTAATTATTAGGGAAGAGCAAATCAAAACTACAACAAGGTATCACCTCACACCAGTCAGAATGGCCATCATTAAAAAGTCTACAAATGACAAATGCTGGAGAAGGTGTGGAGAAAAGGGAAGCCTCCTGCACTGTTGGTGGGAATGTAAATTGGTGCAGCCACTGTGGAGAACAGTATGGAAGTTCCTCAAAAAACTAAAAGCAGAACTACCATACGATCCATTCCTGGGCAAATGTCCAGACAAAACTCTAATTCAAAAACACACATTCACCCCTATGTTCATAGCAGCACTATTTACAATGACCAAGACATGGAAACAATCTAAATGTCCATCGACAGATGAACGGATAAAGAAGATGTGGTATATATATATGTATGTATATATATATACACACACATACACACAACAGAATATTACTCAGCCATAAAAAGAATGAAATAATGCCATTTGCAGCAATGTGGATGGATCCAGAGATTATCATACTAAGTGAAGTCAAAGACAAATATCATACAGTATCATTTACATGTGAAATCTAAAATATGACACAAATGAACTTATTTACAAAACAGAAACAGACTCAGACACAGAACACAAACTCATGGGTACCAAAGGATAGAGGGCTATATTAGGAGTGTGGGATTAGAAGATACACGTATAAAATAAATGACAAGGTCCTATGGTACAGCACAAAGAACTATATTCAATATCCTGTCATAAACCACAATGGAAAAGAGTAGGAAAGAGAACGTGTGTGTGTACGTATATGTATATACATAAATTTATATACTGTTATATACCGGAAACTAACAACCTTGTAAATTAACTACGATGAAATTTTTAGAAAAACTATCCAACTAATAATTAAAGACCATATTCACCAGACAAGAAAAAAAAAGAAAAGAAAAGAGAAAGTAACCACTTACAGGGGCCTGGGCGCAGTCAGGGGTAGCTGAGGGGCATCCGCCACCAGAGCCCCCCACACAGGCAGTTCTTGATCCAGCG